ATAAATAGCCTAGTTGTAGGTAGGTCAATGTAATTCATTGTAAATTCATTATTCCTTATTCTGTAGCCGTCATTAAATATATTCCTTTTGACTTTCATCTCTCCTTGTGCACCAACAATTGGTATCAGAGATCTGGTTCGAAATCCACAGGGAAACAGGAAATACGAGTGAACAGTGAGGTATTATTGAGAATCGTTTTTCTGATTCTGTGGGATTTGAGAAACACTTTTAGTGAATTTTTGAGTGAATTTCACAAGGTTGAAGATGAACGGAAACATCGATATAAATTCCAAGCTTCGAGCGTTTGATGGAAAAAACTAGAATCGTTGGAAGATCCAGTTGTGTGTACTATTTGGTTCTCAAGATGTGTTAGATCTTGTCATCAATGGCTATGCTCTGTTAGAAGTAGACGGAACAGAGGCACAAAAGATAACGCAAAAGGCGCTAAGGAAGAAAGATCAAAAGGCGTTGTTCTACATCCATCAATGTGTGGATGCGAACGTGTTTGAGAAGATTGTTGAATCTGAAACAACAAAGGATACGTAGAACACACTGGTCAGATGTTACGGTGGTAACGCATCAGTGAAGAAGGTGAAGCTTCAGTCTCTCAGAAAGTAATATGATAATCTCAACATGAAGGACAACGAGAAGGTTTTTGAGTACATCTCTAGAGTAATTTTGATCACTAATGAGATGAAAGCTTGTGGAGAAACTCTTTCTAAACAAGTAATCATTGAGGAGATATTGAGATATTTAACTTCTCAGTTTGATTACATTGTGGTAGCAATTGAACATTCCAAAGATCTGAGCACCATGAAAGTTGAAGAGCTGCAAAGAAGTCTAGAGGCACATGAGTTGCACAAGACTGAGAGAACTTCTGAGAGAGAAGTAGAGTAGCAGGCTCTAAAAATAACTTCTGGTAATAAGTATCAGAAGAAGACTTGGTCAGAAGCCAGGAAGAAAACTAATGATGGTCAAAGGTCAGAAGCTTCAAACTGTGATAGGCAGCAGAAGGGAAAGGAGAAGTCTGACAAGAAGAATGTTCATTGTTACTATTGTAAGAACTTTGGTCACTATGTCAAAGATTGTTGGTCAAGCAAAGAAAGGAAGTCAGAAGAAGCAAATATATCCAGAGGAGAATCTGATGATGAACATGTGCTATTGTTGGCTTTTGAACCTGATAATATGAATTCATCAGAATGGTGGTATATGGACACAGGGTGTTCAAACCATCTTACTGGAAACAAGAAATGGTTGGTTAATTTTGACTATGGGAAGAGTACAAAGATCAGATGTGCTGATGATAAATACCTCAATGCAGAAGGTATGGGAAATATCAGAATCATTCTAAACAATGGTAAAGCAGCAGTGGTCAAGAATGTATGGTATGCACCTGACATTAAAAGCAATCTGATGAGTGTGAGACAACTGATTGAGAAAGGTTTTTCGATTACCATGAAGGACAATCTTCTGAAGCTGTATAAATGTAATCAGAAGCTGATTATGGAGTTGGAACAGGGAAGAAACAGAACATTCAAGGTGAATATTAGAACTAAAGACTCTGAATGTCTTAGTGCAACAAGTATTGTCAAGGAGATTGAGCTGTGGCACAGAAGATTTGGACATCTGAGTTTCATAAGTTTAGGGAATCTGAAATCAAAGAAGCTAGTACATGGAATTCCTATAATCAGGAAGACTAAGAAGTCATGCAAGGTGTGAATGAAAGGGAAGCAACCAATATTACCATTTACATCAGAAGTAGCTCCAAGAGCAAAGCATGCCTTAGGAGTAGTGCATTCAGATGTATGCGGTCCATTTCCAGTAGCATCAACTGGAGGGAATAAATACTTTGTGTCATTTGTTGACGAGTTCACCAGAATGACATGGGTATCTCTCATAAATTTCAAACACGAGGTGTTTGTTGAATTCAAGAATTTCAGACTGAAGGTTGAGAATCAGAGTGGCCAGACTCTGAAGATTCTTAGAACTGATGATGGTGGTGAGTATAACTCCACATAATTCAGAAAGTTATGTGAGGAGAATGTAATTGAGCATGAGGTTACTGCTCCCTATACTCATCAACACAATGGTCTTGCTGAAAGAAGAAACCGTACTTTGCTTGATATGGTGAGAAGCATGCTGAAAGAGAATAAGCTTCCTCATACTCTATGGGGAGAAGTTGTTGCCACTGCATGTTATGTGCTCAACAGATGTCCAACAAAGAAGCTAAAGGAAATAGTTCCTATTCAGAAGTGGACTGGAGATAAGCAAAGTGTTAGTCATCTGAAGGTGTTTGGTTCTGTATGTTATAAACATGTCCCAGAAGCCAGAAGACAGAAGTTGGATAATAGAAGTAAAGTAATATTACTGGTGGGGTACCACAATATAGGTTTATAGAAACTTTATTGTCTAAAAACAAACAAAGTTGAGTTCAGCAGAGACGTCATTTTAAAAGAATCAGAAGTCTGGAATTGGGAAAGGTCTCATCCTAACTCTGATGAGAGAACTCCTGAAGAAAAGTCAGAAACACGTGTTTCTAAAGACTCTGACTCTGAAGAAGATTCAGAAGGTGAAGATGATTCTGACTCTGACTCCGATGGTGATTCAGACTCTGGGAATTTTCCAGACTCTGAAGACAGTCAAGGTTCTGGAGAAAGTTCATTTTCTGAAGCAAGAGCTTCTGAAGGGGAAAGTTCTGGTGTCCGAGGTTATGAAGTTCAAATTCAGAGGCAACAAAGAGTCAGAAACATCCCAAGAATATTTTCAGAGTTTGACATGTTACAAGATACTGAAGTAGACTCCGAAGGAGAAGTTATTCAGTGTGCAATGTTAGTAGACTCTGAACCCGTAAGTATGGAAGAGACTCTTAAGCAACAAGTCTGGTTGCAGGCCATGAAAGAAGAACTTGATGCTATAGAGAAAAACAAGACTTGGAAGCTAACATAACTTCCAAAAGGAAAGAAAGCCATCAATGTTAGATGGGTTTTCAAGCAGAAGCTAAATGCAGATGGATCAATTGGCAAACACAAAGCAAGATTTGTAGCAAGAGGCTTTCTACAGAAGCCTGGGATGGATTACACTGAAGTGTTTGCACCTGTAGCGAGATATGAAACAATCAGACTAGTGATTGCAATAGCTGCTAACAAGAATTGGCCTCTGATGCATTTAGATGTAAAATCTGCATTTCTAAATGGTCCATTACAAGAAGAGGTATACGTGTTACAACCTCCCGGATTTGAGAAAAGGAATAAGGAAGGAATGGTGTTCAAATTACACAAAGCCTTGTATGGATAGAAGCAAGCACCCAGAGCCTGGAATCTGAAGATTGATTCATTTTTTAAGGGACAAGGGTTTCAGAAGTGTGAGATGGAGTATGGTGTTTATGTTCAACACACTTCAGAAGGTAATATGATTCTGGTCTATTTGTATGTTGATGACATATTACTTACAGGAAGTTCTGAATAAGAGATAGTTGAGTTTAAGAAGGTTCTGATGAATGCGTTTGAGATGAAAGATCTTGGGAAAATAAGTTTCTTTCTAGGGATGAAATTTATGTACTATGAGAAAGGAATCATTTTGCATCAGATGAAGTATGAACTTGAGCTTCTGAAGAGATTTGAGCTAGAGAACTGCAAAGTTGCTATCACACCTGCTGATACGAATCAGAAGTTGGAATCCGATTCTGATGGAGAGGATGTGGATGATATAACCTTCAAACAGTTGGTTGGTTCTCTGAGGTATTTGTGTAATACCAAACCTGTTATTTGCTATGCAGTTGGAATGGTTAGCATATTTATGAGTAAACCAAAGTGGTCTCATTACCAAGCTACTGTCAGGATTCTGAGGTATGTGAAGGGAACTCTGAAGTATGGAGTGTTATTTCCTTCTGGAAGAAAGATCGAATTAGAACTTCTGAGTTATTCAAACTCTGATTGGTGTGGAGACAAAGTTGACAGAAAAAGTACTTCTGGGTACTTATTCAAATTTCTGGGAGGTCCTACTTCTTGGTGTTCCAAGAAGCAACCTGTTGTTGCATTGCCAACATGTGAAGCTGAATATATTGTAGGAGATATGACTGCATGCCAAGCTGTGTGGATTATGAACTTGCTGCAAGATTTGAAGATTGAGGTAGACAAACCTCTGAAGCCGGTGATTGATAACAAGTCTGCAATAAATCTAGCCAAGAACCCAGTGCTGCATGGGAGAAGCAAGCATATTGAGACCAAGTATCACTTTCTTAGGAATCAAGTTCAGAGTGGAATATTAGAAGTTATGCATTGTAGCACCCAGAAGCAGCTGACAGATGTTCTAACAAAGGCTATCAAGACTGATCAATTTCTTCACTTGAGGGATGTAATTGGTGTTGTCAGTTTTGTGTAAATATAAATTAAAGGATGGTGTTGGAAATAATTTATATTTTAGGAATATCTTTTTATATCTTTATTATACCCTAATTTAGTTTATAAATAGCCTAGTTATGGGTAGATCAATGTAATTCATTGTAAATTTATTATTCCTTATTCTGTAGCCATCATTAAATATATTCCTTTTGTCTTTTATCTCTCCTTGTGCACCAACAATATCTATACTATCTATTTAAATTACACTGAATATGGATTTCATTTATGTAATATTTCGTAAACCTTAATTCAACATTTTTAATTCTACATGTGACAACTATTTTAATTGCGTTTGTACTATATTGTCACATTAAGACTTAAGTTACCCATGCAAACGCACGAGTCTTCTACGAGTTAAATAGAATAAAACAAGATGAGTTCTAGGAAAAATTTGACACTTGGAAATTTTTCAGAGCCATAGTTATTTATATAATTCCTATTTTTAGAAATCTTAATTAACAATGCGTATCATATTTTTTTAATATTTTTTTTATTATTTCTTTGAATTAACTGTTAATTAATGATAAAGTATCAAATTTTTATTCATAGACGATTTAATTAGCAATTTCTCATTGGGCCATGGGAAAATAACTTTGTTGTATGGATAATCAATGTTATGTGTCAGGTTCAATGTTACCACTTCATTTTCATTGCAATAAGCACACCCCAATGCAACGATTCATTTGGTTTTCTAACTATGCATATTTTGTGACTATTCTTTCTCTCTCTCATACCATGTGTCACACTTTCCCTCTTTCTCTCTCTCAATGCACATCTCACTCTTCCTCTTCTTCAAACTTCTCTCTTCCTATTCTTTCTTCATGTTCTTCTTCTGCAACTTTGATTATTTATTCTAATTTGGTTTACGCTAGTGAACCAGAATCTGTGAGTGCGTTCGAACTTCAAACTCAAAAACATTGTCATTTTTCTCCGCAACTACAACCGTTCCTCAAAACCTCACCTTCACATCCCCTACTAAACCCTCATTTACTTCATCTCAGTCCACCTTCTACAGAAGCATCACCACCTCTCCACAAATCACACGCGCTCACGCGCCTCCTTTTTCTCATCCAGCCACACCCACCGCTGCCTCATCCTTCCATGGCATCTGCTACATCGTCAGTGACAACATTAACACCATCAGATCATCCCTGCCAAACATATCACTCTAGTCCCTTCCAAGCCTGACGAGTATGATAAGCTTGGTTCCTTCGCCCCAATTGGAGTCCCCGGTTCATACTCTTTTCGGATTCGAAATAGTTGTTTCTTATTTTTGTTCCATAAATGAACATGGTTTTGTTCTCTCTTTTTTGAGTTCAAATGAGACATTAAAATACAATTCAAATCCTCTATATCTTTGTTTCCTCTTATTTTAGTTTGCAATTTTGTTAGGTGAGGATTAATGGTGTTTGTTGACTTGACTGTGGAGTTTTGATATCACTAGAAAGAGTAGTTTGTCATTACATACATTATGTTAGGTAGATATTATCTTATGATTTGCTTTTTCTTTTGTGGATGCTAAAAAAAACTGTGTTCTGTAGGAGACCAAGATGTTATCCAATATGTGTAGGGTGCCACTTTAGAGACATGGAAACGTTTGATGCATGAGTTTCATATAATTGCCACAATTTCTTTTTTTGCACTTTTCAATTATCAAATGTTTCTGCTCTAATGCATTTTGGTTTAATTCTTTTTACAAACAAGTCTTATTAATTTTTGTAGTGGTGATGTCAAATTCAGATAGTTAACAAATAGCTAAACACATTGACTCCTCTAATGAGAAGAAGGAGTTAGCTAGTCTCTATCTTAGTTTGAATATATCTCTGCTTATTCAAGGTAATTTTGTTCTTCTTCTCCTCTTGCTTTATCATTTTATTTTTTATTCGTGTTAACATGGTATCTACAATGGTTTGATTGGGTTTCTACTTAGCTTCAATTTGTATGGGCCATTCATTTCTTGGTCACGATTTTCAGGTTTCCTATGATCGACTATTGTTACTTTCTTAAAATTGCATTCTTTAGGTGTAGAAGCGGGACTACCTTTGTTCTTTTGCTGAAGATCCTCTACAATTCCTTTGTAATACCCTGTCTCTTTACATATTTTGTTGTCTTTATATATTTTCGATTTCAGTTCCTTTGCATCTATTAACAATGTCGATCGTCGGTTCTTATTTTCGTAATGCCGTGTCTCCATCTATCATTCTTCCTCAACAAGGTAATCCATAAACTTTGTCTCCTTTTCCCATAAGTTTTCTAGGTATATGTTTTTTAATTTCTATGAGATAACAATATTTAGCTATTAACCCTATAATTTATAATGTGAATGTAAGTTCTAATTGTAAAGTTAACATTGGTTTTATTATTGTGCAGATTAGTAATTTTATCAAATTAGAATGTTCACTACACTTCATGCATAGAGAACTGAAAAGACATCTTGGAGCTTGACTAAACTATTAATATCACATTGGAAGGAAATGAACATAACTCTCTGTAATACGGTGAGAGAATTGACTTGAGATGTTTTGTGTTTGATCATAATTGTTGTGGTTAGCAAGAGTCGCCACCGACTTTTTTTTATCCAAAAGGAAAGGTGGAAAAGAACATGAAAGACCTTTGAGATTATTTTCTTGAGTTCGAGGGATAGATTATAAAAAGGGAAAGTGTTAGCACCCTTTTCATCCATAGTTATATATATGCTCTTAGTTACTTGCTAGATCACTTGCTTTGTTTGAAAATATACTTTGTGGTGGTTTTTTGAAAGTATTTTTGAAAAGGTGCATTCGTTTAGGCGAACTTTGTAATGATTCTTGTTTCGGCAAGAATGTATACAAAGTGTTGGACTTTTGAAAATATTTCATGGAAAGTGTTGGTGTATTTGAAAATATGTTTGTTTTTGAAAATGTTTCGTGTGTGTTTTGTTTTGAAAGTGAGCTAGCAACTAAAAACGTTTCTACCTACTCAAAAGTATTTTGTTCATTTCTTCCTTCCTTTGATATTGCTATCTCACTATTGATTGGTAAGAAGTCTTATCTTTGGTTGTAAAGGGACGAACGTTGGTTATCGTATAGTCATGATAGCAATGTTGTAAGATGTCTTAGCATTTCTCTTTGAGGGACTAAAATCATTTGAAAGGCGACATTTGTAGCGTCATCGATGGACTATTGTTGTACCCCAAAATTTACCCTCCCATATTCCTTAAGATTTGTCAAGATTGATTTTCAAATTGCTCAAAATGGCTCAAGAGGTTGTACAGTCAAATTACCTCCTAAGACAGCTGAAATTAAGGTTTTGGTTTTTTCAAGAAATTTGGGGTTTTCAATGGTTCAGTCAAGTCTCATAGGCCTATATACATTCTCTAGCCTCTACATGCCAAGTTTCAAGACTCACAGTGCTAGTTTACACAGTCAAAAGCCGTATTTGACCTACAGTCAACTGCAAGGGCAAAATGGTCATTTTGCAGTCAAAAGTCAGAATTCTTGGTCAACATCTTATTTTGAGTCCACAATTATCATTTGATCAAATCTTGATCATGATCCCACAAGAATAGCTCAAAAATCATTAAGATGCAAAAGTTACTATTTTGGGACAGTAGAAAAGTCAACTGTACTTTGACAAGGGCATAACTTTTTCATGGTTTATCAGAAAAATTCCATCCAATACTCATTTTGAAGAGGATGTAATTTCCTACAATCCATCTTCACACTCCAAGTTCAAGAAATGCTCTCACAAGAAGTTACAAATTTTTACATTATAAGTCAATTTCAAAAGTCAACAAAAGTACACTTTGAGTCAAAGGCTATAACTTGAGATTGGTAAATCCAAATGACATGAGACCAAAGACATTGATTAGAGGACTTCAAGGGCTTTCCAAAATGTCTAAGAACATGGTCATATGATCAAAATTGAGCAAGTTGTGCCTTGGAGAAGTTGGGCATTTTCATGAATTTGCAAAAGTCAACTTTGATCAAAACACCTTCTTTTTGCTAATGGGCCTCAAATCTCTTCTTGAAACTTCACCCATGACCTATGCACGACCCACCAAGTTAAATGGGATTTATTTTCTTATTTTTATTGATTAATTGGATTTTTAATACATATTAATTCATTTAATTAATTTAAATTATAAGAAAATAGAAGATTTGATTTTTAAATCAATTTGTGAAGCAAATATGATCAAAACATGCTGGCAAACTCGTGCACAAGTCAAAGATACAAAAAAAATCCAATTTTGGCAACTTTGTTCAATCATGAAAATCAAGAATATTTGATTTACCAATCAAAGATTTAAACTTGAATGCACATGGATTTTTGCCCAGCTCTTGACCTAATTTGATTCTCATATATGTATGGAAGCCAACCCTGACCTAGGACACGATTGAAAGCTGCAGAAACGACCTTGTCAAATTCAAGAAATCTCAAGAAAAGTGAAAACTTGTTCTTGCATTCTAGGCCAATTCAAGGCGTTTTGACCATCCAAATACATTGTAGGAGGTCTCAGAAACGTTTTGCAATCAAATTCCAGCATCAAAGCTCAAAGAATCGTTACATACAGTCCCACGGTTTGCACTTTTGATTCAAAACTATATATCTTAATTCATGCGCATTTAACATGTTTTTGTGATGGTTTTGCATTGCTAGGAATCATACCAAGCTAATGGAGTGATTTAATTGAATTATAACGCCCTGAATCGAAAGATACCATGACTGAATTTCTAGGGTTCTTGAGCTTTTAAATGGGGCTTTCTAAACCAGAAAAAATTGGGACTAATAGGGTACATGTGTGAATTCGTGAGACCAAGACGAACACAACCCATACCTCGCAAAATATTTATGATTGCTGTGGTTCTATTCGCTATTTTTCCTTGCAGGAGTTAGTGGAGGTTAAAAACCCCCGCTATCTGATTCTAATTATACAGAAAAAAGGTTGAAGACGATGATGTGTTGATACCCGGTTGGCCAATTTGAAAAGCGCGCGTTATTTTTTTTTTATTTTACAGCATGTTGATTAGTTTCCCCATATAATAATTGTCTCTTATGCCAATAACAAATAAAGCAGCTTAGTGGAGTGGTTGGTGCGTTGGCCTGGAAGCATTGGGACCTGGGTTCGAATCCCAGGTCCCCCAAGACAATTATTTGATTTTTTTCTGCAGGTGATCCCATGTACTCTCCAATACGTGATCCATCATACACCACAGAGATCCACACGCCAAGTGGCTCCTGGCCAAATCTGAAGGCCAGGATTGAAGGACTATCATACTCCCTGGTCAGCGCATGCGTAGTAAACTCAGAAAGTCAAACATGCTAATGCATAGTGGGCCTTCAGAATTACTCTTGTCACTCCAAAGTTGGCCCAACACCCCCTTCAAGTTTATTTCTTTTCTCTTCTTTTTATTTATTTCTTTCATTTAATTATGTTTTATAATTATTATTTTCACTAACAAATTAATATTTATTTTCATAATAAATTCAGGAAAACATAAAAAATATAATATTTTTATTTATTAAACTTAATTAGTTTATTTTGTAAATAAATATAATTAACTAATTTAGTTTTAATTAGGTTAATTCTAACTTTTTTGCAATAATTTAAAATCAACATAGAATTAGGGTTCTTAATAACTTTTAACCATCTTTTATTTTTTCCCTTAAAAAACATAAAAACTCAAAAAATATCTTTCTTTTATTTAATTAATTAATTAGTCTAGGTTTAATTTAATTAAATGCAAAATGATAAAAAAATCTCTTTCTTTCTCAAAAAAGGGTCAAAACTCTAAAAGACTCTCCGATTTAATTTTTCTCGCGCGTATGATTATTTTTGATTCATATTTTGATCCATATAATTGTATTTGCTCCGAGGATGTAATAGCTTTAATTAGGACCTTTTTATCACTTTATTTAATTTTCCGCATTTACTTTTTCAAGGGTTTGTTTTTGGCGATGTAAATACCCGACGCCTTGTAATAGCTTAGTTTTATTTTCCGCAACTATTAACTGCTAGATGTATGAATAATAGGCTATGCATGACAAGACTTATCTTAAGCTTAAAAATCAATCGTAGTTCACCATAACATGTGCAAAGATAACATAACTGAAACTTGACACACTCGCACATGCGACTCTTAGGGTACGCCTCATTTGGTTGCCTCGACGTGGTCATTGAGTATAGGGTGTTTTAGAGGTCGCCCTCCTGTCTAAAGATCAAAGTTGCCTCGAAACGGTTGCCTCGATAAAAAATGATCTAAGACATTAGGGTTATCGCTAAGGTGTCCTACCATTGCTTTAGTGACCACATGTCCCATTAATCGAATTGACCCAAAAACTCCAACGACGGTGCTGTCTACTTCTCAATAGTGGGATAGCACTGTCTAAAGGACATTTACACAGCTTAATTTCTTTTGAGTAGGTAGAGATTCTCAGGTACTTGCTCTTTCAAAACAAAACAACTTTTTCGCACTTACACTTTTCAAACGAAAGTTTTCAAACAACACTCCATACACTCTTGAGGACAGATACAAGAGTTAAATCGAAGTTTTCAAACAAAACTCTTTTCAAAACCCACGAAGACAAGAAAAGCAAAACTTTTTGAAAACATAGTGAGCAAGTACCTAAGAGCCCGTGAATAACCACGGATAGAAAGGGTGCTAACACATTCCCTTTCTATAATCTACCTCCCAAACCCGAGAAACATCTCGAAAAGGAATTTTGTTGTGCTTTTATCCTTTCCTTGTCGGATTAAATAAAAGACGGTGACGACTCTTGCTTACCGCGATATTTCGCGAACCAGCATTAAAAACAATCAGTTCTATTTCCACCGATCACAACTATGATCTTGTATTTCGATTGTTTTTGCTAAGACATCTCACATGCATAACATGACCATTTTTAGGCAACAAGTGGTGTTAACCTTAAGGGTACATGTGTGAATAATGTGTTTGATTTACATGCATTTAATTTTGGATTAAGGTTATATACTTGTTGATTTTTATCTTTCCATACAAATCTTAATTACTAGCATTTATATGAAAGCGATAAATTGCAGAAAGTAAATTTACTATGCTATTACATCATTTGGGGATGGGGTATACAAATTTATAAATGGGGATTACAAGAAATTAAACCTAATTATCTATTACAATCATATTGAATAATATACAAGAAACGAATAAATATAATGTGCAAGGATGTAAATGGAAAAGAAAATGGATTTTTTGTTTGGTTTTTGAGGAAAGGGTTTGATTTTGACCTAATTAACTAAAAGAAATAATTAATTAAATTAAGAAAATTAAACCTAAATTAATTAAGAAAAAAAATTAAATTTAATCAAGAAATCATTTTTAAGATTTTTTAATGAAAAATGTTTTTATTTAATTAAACTAAAATCAAAATTAATTAAAAGAAAAAACTAAATTTTAAGTTAATTTAATTAAAGGAAATTAAAACATAAGTCTAATATTAATTTGTTTAGGAAAAGAAAATAAATTTGCAATAAGAAAATATTTGTGTTTTTTATTAATAAAAATAATATTTATAATAATAATAATAATAATAATAATAATAATAATAATAATAATAATAATAATAATAAAAATATTTAAAGAAAAGAAAATAAGAAAATAAAATAAAGAAATAAAATCAGGGGGGTAAAAATTAGATTTGGGTGTTTGTTTGTGTAAAACAGTTTTTGTTTTGTTAGGCCCAATGGCCTGTTTTTGTAATCAGAAAAATAAACAAAATAAAAAGAGAGAAAGTTGGGCCTGTGTTGTGACAAGCAGGCAGGGGGGCGAGTCTTAGTAAAAAAACAAAGCCCAATGGCCTTAGGCCCAGGCGTGCATGGTTGTGTCAAAAAGAGAGAAAATGTTAGAAAAAAAGGCAAAAAGTGGCAGCGCTGGGGCTTGAACCTACGCCCTTGACATGATACGCGCGCTGTCTTACCACAGGGGTGGCTATATATCCGTTAACTTAAACAAAACCATAAATATATAATACAAATCCATTCCTAGAAATAAACTTCATCTTCAACCTCCAGCCAGGGTTTCTGTAACTCACTCATTTCTCATCCATTCACAAAACTTCCAACATCAAACTTGTTAGAAATTTTACCAGGATTCCAGAAATGTAAACAATTTGGACTAACAATCAAAGATGAGCATGTATTTCTAAAAGTACCAAATCCCGACCTAACTTTTTTCAGAGATTCAAACTTAAAATTCTCTAAGCTCAGACAATATAAATGAAAACTATAAATATGTACAGCTTCAGGGCAATGATGTCTACATTTTATCTTTGAAAATGGAAATTTAAAAATGCATGTATGAAGAGTTTGAAAACCAGAAAACTTACCTTGCAAGTAGGGATCGTGTTTTGAATAAGAGCAACTTTCAAGGTGTTGTGATGATCTGTTTAGCTTGCCTAGACCCCTCTAAGTGTGTTGCAATCCTTACTTTTCCTCGTGGATGATTGAAACTCTCTACTCAAGTCAAGTTGCAAGCTTGAGTTTTGAAAATGGTGAATGGTGCAAAGGGAGTTACAGTCCAGAAACAAGGGCATGGATCACTTTGATATGATGTATATTAAGTGTTTGGATGGTTAAAACTCAATACGCACGAGTAGATTTGGAGATGGCTATGTTAGGATAAAAATTGTCAAGTTATGGAAGATTTTGAGTTGCAAAATGCTTGGGAGTGTTCTGGGATGCTTGAGCTCGTGTGTTATATTGCAATAGACTTGTGTATATGTATGTAAAAGGTTATAGATCAATTGCACTCAAGGTTTCTGAGTTCTAGCCTTTTGGATCTATAACTTGCTTTTGAAGAAAAGTGAGAAGACAAGTCTCAAAGTGTTGTACAAGCATGTTCTGAGTTGGTAGAGGCCTTAGACATGTTGCTTTTGGTTTTGAATTTACTTGTGTGCAGAGAAAATAATTGAGAGGCTCAAGAAGTTGACAATTTCAAAAGTAATGCTTTATCAAAATGGAAATGACAACTTTGTGCCATAAATGGAAAATCATTTTGGACAAAGCTTCAAACACTTGGATAAGGGTATAAACAGTTGTGTAAACCATTAATTATGGAGTGAAAAACAAGTTTTAGGCCTGAAAAGTGAGGATTATGCAGCATGGCTATGGATTGGATCAAATGTTCATCATGAAAATGACTTGAAAAACAAGTTTGAAACCCTAACTTCTTGCCTTCGATTCTCTTAGATCAAGTGTGATCTCAATGAGTTCTTGGACATTTTGGAAATATTGTAAAATCCTATAAAACCTTCATGTTGTAAATTTTTGAAGATTAAATTTGGAACTAGGTGAAAAGTTGCCATGAAGTTAGGTCAAAATCCTGACTAGCTAGGGCAAAATTTCACTAAGTCTTTTAGTTTCATGGACATGTCTTCATAAATTCATAACTTGAAATCAAAGCATTTCTAGAAAAAGTTCTGCCCTACAATGTTTATATCTCATTGATATCTACAACTTTCATGTTTGAAGTTTTTCTTGAATCATCTTGCATCATGGTGGAAATTTGGCACAAAGTTATGAAAAAAATGTTAACTTTCTAACACTTAGAAAAATTTCTAAGTCTTAGAATTTTGACTTTTCAAGGATAATTTTGACTTTTCAATTTCTTGATGAACAAGTTTCATATTTTGACATGTCTTGATGAAATATGATTTTTGAAACTTGATTTTGATCAAAAAGTCAAAGTTTGACTTTTCAGTGTACAATTGACTTTTCATCAGTTGACTGAAATTCATCTGTCAATCCAATGATCTTGAAAGGTGATTTGAACTATGAAATTAGGTCAAGATGGTGCATTTGAATAATTGAGATCATTTCTTAAACCAATAAGTCATTTTCTTGGGACAAAGTCAAAAACTAAACCTTCTCAATCAAAACCCTAATTTTGACCATTTTGCCCTTTTGGTTTTCTGATCAAATTTCTTTGAGGAATTGTGATCCAAATTGATCAATTGACATATATGAGTTCATAATGTTGATATGGATCAAGAATTATGAAGTTTGATTGTAGGTTGACCACAATTGATTTTTTATCCAATATAGCTGATTTTAGGTCATCTGATCAAATGACTGAGCAATTTTGTGATCCAAGACTTGAAACTTGACATGAGAAATCTTGAGGGCTCCTAATGATCCATGAAAGTCATTTTAGGCCTTGAAAGTCCAATTGTCCTTGTGAAAACTCAAACCCTAATTTTGAGTTATTAGTGCTTGAGGAGGTGTCTTGAGCTGATCAAACCTTGTGTAGTCTTGAATCAATGGAGATCTTATGAGAGATTTCTTGAAAAATGAGAGGGAAAATTTTGGGGTACAACACTCTCCCTCTCTATTTTGCATGCACTTCATAATTTGTTATTCTTCTTTAGTGAGTTGATGTATTTGCCCTTTTTTCTCTAATGAAAATTTTATACCATTTAAATAATTAGATTAATATGCTATCCAATTGTCATTCATTCATCTTAAGTCTAAATCATGCAATTTTTTATGGTCTAATTTATTGATGTAGTTTATAGTTGGTTAGATTCAGTGGTACAAAGAACTTAAAATAACAAATCATTTCTTTTATTATGTTCTTTGCAATCCTATTTTGTGTGTGTAACTTCATATAATTATAGAGCTTTTAATTGTCTAACAATTGATTAGCTTAATCTTAATTATTGTTCTTAGACTACTTTAATGCCCCACACCATAATAGGCATTATTGGATCAGGCACTGCAAGCATAATTAACTTAAAACGCTTGGCAATAGATTTCTCAATGCTCATTGTAGCTGAAGAAGAATGGTTACACGAGAAAAAGAAAGTCTGTCAATTACAGGAAAAAGGAAAGCTTCTGAATGCATTGATTTTCTATTTTCCTCCTCTTTCTGGTCCTCCCTCATTCTCTTTGACTTTTTCGGTTATTTCTCATTCATTTTCTTCTTTATTTTCCCTTTTTCGTCCTCCCTCTCAATAAAGTCTACAACAACCAATTGACCAGAGAAGAAGTTGGAATTCATACCAGAAATAGAGACAAGGTACGTTTAGATATTCTTTAAGTTAGGGCCTTTCACTCTTATGTTTTTAAACTGTAATATCTACCAGAACCGCCTATATCATATGAATCATCAAAAATATTGTTTCCAATACAGTTATCGTGGTGCAGTAAGAAAACCTTAACCAATTCTCACTACATTCAGCTCCAAAGTGCTCCAAGCAGCATTCAAGGTAGATCTTTATCAATCTATACAAATATATAGTTTTCTATTCAATGAATTTTGAGTATTAATGTTCTAGGTGTTATACTTGAAAACCAAATAGAGCTGAAAAAGTGAGTTGGAAAAGGTTTTGGATAAATAGAATAAGGGAAGAATTTTTTAAATAGCAAAAGAAGATGTGCGTGGCTTGACCCTTAAGAGAAATCTTTAACCTTTTGGTGGATCATTTAAGGGTCCATTAAATATTTTCAGCAACAATCTAACTTTCTCTAACCAATTTGGCAATCTCTTTGAAGTTGGTCCTTTCCAACAAAAGAGTGGACTTGAAGGATTAAATCGCATGCTTGCCTTTTCCAACATCACCAAGGTATACAAATACTCCTTAATAATGTTTGTCTTGAATTTTTGAAGGACATGTATACGATTTAACCATGTCAAATTTTGAGTCTATGTTGTAGTAGTTTGTCTTGCATGTTCTCAAAGTCGTGTATTTTATGTATACTATTCACTACAACATATAGGGAAGAAGAATGTTGTGAGTGCATTGGACAAGACAACTAAAGAGCTAGCATTTGACTTGGGTGTTGAGAAGGTGGATGAGATATTTCAAAAAAAGGAGGAATTATTTTTTCCTTATGATTATAAGGAGAGGAAGGAGGATCATATTCGTACGTGTGAAGAGGGTTTTGTATTACAATAGAATGTGGCATAAGTTAAATAATGTATCTATATAGAGAGATGTAAAAATAAATAAAATGACCTCTAATTGCTGCCTGATATGGCAACAAACACTTTGCGTTGTGTTACTTGTGTAACAAATGATGATCTATCTATGTTAATGTGAGCTCTTCTTTGGTTTACTTTCTTAGCACATTTATTGAGTATTTAAAAAGATTAAATCACAAAACCAAATAAAGTTTTAAATGTGTTGTGTACTCGATTTTTCATTTAAGGTGTTTTAAATTTGTTTAGAAATATGTTATGATCGGTTGAGCCTACATGAAGGTCACCTTTTATTACTTGGACTAAATTTTATAAAGAATCTTAGTAATTAATGGTTAGGTATTTGTCTTATATAAAAAACCATTAGTTGTCTTATATAAAAAACCATTATATTATTAAATCATTAAATATATTTTTATTTGGACTTATGTCATAATTATCTAAATAAATGTTTGGAAGAGATGTGATATGTCCTTATGTTGTTTAGAAGAGATTGTGATATATTCTTTCGTTTAAGTTATAATTTAGAAATCACAAAATTGTTTTATAATAAATTAAAAGAATAAAGTTAAAGAAATTAAATTTAATAATTATAATTTAGAAATTAAAAAATTGTTTTATAATAAATTAAAAGAATAAAGTTACAAAAAAAAAAGATATATTATTGATAAAAATATTTTTCTGTGCAATATAACAAAGGCAAATTTTAATATTACTATAACTTTGTAAATTATAAATAATTATAAATAATTTTTTTAATTTAAAAAATCGCGTCCCTTGCGGATATACACACTTGTTTACTCTAATAGTACTTATAAAATTTTAGATTTTTTTAACAAATTCAACTTCTTTCATGCTAGTATATCAAATTTAACAAAATCTTGAGGTTATTAACACATTGTCTCAAATTTTTAGGGTCTCATAGATTTAAAATTTTAAAAATATAATTTATTGAATGTTTATACGTTTCTATCATAATAAATTGACTCATTGTTTTGATCTAGTGGTGGTGAGATCGGACAAAAACAAAGAGTTATGGGATACTCTCATATTTTACCATTTTAATATTGTCTTATTTATTAATTAAAACACTTTATTATACTTTCTTCAATTAAATGAAATGAATTTTGTGTTTTTTATTAAGGGTCTATTTTTTAAATTTAAACTGGGTCTCCAAATTGTTTGAGACGATCCTGGTGGTATACCATGTGATTATAGAACTCCTGAAAAGAGTCACTATTCTGCTTGGCCACCTATATTCAGTGGTGATTCCACTTTATTTGAATGGTGGAAAAATAAGATGTATACTTATATTATTGGTCTTGGTGATGAGATGTGGGATATCCTTGAAGATGGAATTAACATTGAAGTTAATGGTGTTGGATGGTTGTTGATAGAAAAACTCTCACACCAACTCAAAAGAAAACTTACAAAAAATATCATAGAGTTAGAGGCATTTTGATAGAAGCCCCGCCTCATTCTGAGGACATCAAGATCATTAATAAGTCTACTGCTAAGACTATCTTTGAGTCTTTGTGTTCTAATTATGAAGGAAATCTTCAAGTCAAAGATGCTAAGGCCAACCTTCTTGTACAACACTGTAAGTTATTTACAATGAAGGATAATGAAGATATTGAAACCATGTTTTATAGGTTTCATGTTCTTGTATCAGTTCTTCAGGTGTCGAACAATATTTATACTACATCTGACCATGTAAAGAAAGACTTGAGAAGTCTCCCTGTTATATTCAGATCAAAGGTCACATCTATTCAGAAGGTTAAAAATCCGAATACACTGAGTCTTGAAAGTATACTAAGCAATCTTCAGAGCCATGAGATATAAATGAATGGATATGAGCCTGTGAAGAAATCTAAATCATCGACTTTGAAGCTAGTAGCTGAGAAATCTGGTGGTAAAGTTACTAGATCCTCAAAATCTTGAAAATAAGAAGAAACTTTTGATGAAGAAGTTTATGATGGTGACTTTGATGATGGGGAAATGGCCTTTATCATCAAAAGGTTTACAACTAGCAAAAAGGAATAAGAGATTCTTTGGTAGAAGTAGTGGCTTCAGGGGCTCTAGTTCTAGAGACAAAGGTGATGACCAGAAGAGTTGCTTTAACTGCAAGAAGTCTGGTCATTTCACAGATGATTGTCCTGGTATGCAAAAGGATATACGAAAGAAATGAAGCTTCTAGAAGGACAATTTCAGAAGTAAATTCAAGAAGAGTTTCACAGTAACATGGTTGTCGCGGCAGGAAAATTGAGATTAAGCTATTGATTAACTTAACTCGTAAAATAATAAGTAAGAGTCACCATCGAACCTTATTGTTTCCAAAGGAATGAGAAAATATCGATAAAACCCAAAAAAAGAAAGATCTGGGTACAATTGTTGGTTATGCAAAGGGAAGGTATTAGCACCCCTCACATCTATTGTACTATGTAGGAACCTCTCAAAAATATGTGTTAGGCTAAAACAGTTGTTTGCAAAAAGATTGCGGAGATGAGAAAAGAAGTATTTTATTATTATTTTTAGCTCGACAGGACTTAGAGATCCTCGTGCCTACGTACCATCCATGTGCAATAAAGAAGTCAGAACCTCTTAGTTCTTGTAAAAAAACAAAAAGGTGTTTATTTGATTGATTTTAATGAAAATAAATTTCTTCATTTTCAAGTGGAAAACTCAACTTATCACCCACAAGTATGAGAAAGTGAACATTTGCATCATCTTGATGGAGAGCTTTAGCTTGGATATAATAAACAAGCATGTCTCAACATTTAAGTGGAAAATGTGAATCAAACTCTCAATCATACTATGGGATTAGGAAGTTTACATCACTGTAAGAAGATGACTTATATCTAGTATTTCCAAAAGTTTGAAAATAAAAAGAAGTGCAAGAGCACACAATTGATTTGATGATGTTTGTATCTTTTAGAGTTTTTTTGAAAGAGTTTTGATATGCTTAAGTGTTTTAGCATTTATTGAGAAAAAGTTTTGAAAATAACTTGACAAAATTAAGGTTTGTTTTGAAAGTGGTTTGAATTTTGAAATAAGAAGGTTTTGAAAAAAGAGAGAAGATTTTGAAAATTTAAGAATGGAAGAAGATGAAGAGGCTATCCTAAAGCATAAAGTAAAGGACAAGAAAGAAATGGTCTCATTATAAGGTAGCCCAAGAGGAACCCTTTGTGTGTGTAAGTGAACTAACCAAGATGAAGCAAGCATTTGAAATTAGTCAAACTTAGTATTCCTTTCCCTTTGGATTAAGCCACAAGCAACAAGCAAAGATGAAAACCCAATGATCCAAATGAAAATAATCAAAGTTCAAAGCCAAGTTGAGTTTGATGATCAATGGTGCAGATGAATTCCAAAGCCTCAGATACAAAAATCCAAAGCATGGGAAGAGAACCCTAGATCTAAGTCCAATAGTTCAAACCCCAATCATAGGATAGTACCATCAAGTCTAAAGATCAAGATTAAGTTTTTTAGGGTTTTTCGTATTTATTAATGTTTTTGGCCTTTTGAGGCAAGCAAACAAAATAAGAGCAAAAGATAAAACCAAAAATAAAGATGACATGAATGTAAATGACTTGAATAATAAATGACAAGAAAGATAAGTGGCATAAAGTAAATTGCATTAATGTAAAAGCACCGAAAAGTAAATTTAGAAAACTTAATGAAGTTAATGTTAGTGGTAGAAGTTAATCAACCGATTCAGGGTAATTTAGCACTATGTTAAGCAATTGTAAGTGGACTTATGTAGAAGTCACACCTATGCGAGACCGGGCAATAGCAATTTATGTGTCCTACATGTTAAAAGATGGCACAACGTCATTCTCCTAAAACATGTAACACAAGTCAAAACAAAATCAAGAATAAGGAGAAGAAAGAGATGAAGAATTGATCAAACATTAAGGCAAAGGGATTGGATCATTAATTATATCAATCTTCTTCATAATACCTTGAGACAAACTAATCATTAATTCAAAGTACCAAAAATGATAAAAATAATCATTTAATGATAGATTTGAAATGAAGGGAATTCATCAAGCACCAATGCAATGTCCAATTGAACAAGAAGAAACTTCAATCAACCGAAACTGACCAAGTCAACCAAAAGTCAGAAACATTAATCATCAAAAACAACCAAAATTAATATTAAATAATTATTTTAAATAGTTTAATAATGTAAAATAAAGAGAAAATTCAAAAGATGCATCGAAACATCAAATAAAAAGCCACAAAAATTTGAGAGAGTAAAAAAAACTCCAAGGATCGTGATATCAAAAGTTGGACTAAACATGTTTGAAAATAAATTTCTTAAAGATAATTAAAAGAAAATAAGATGAAAATAGCAAAAAATGCTAAAACTCATTTTAAAATTCTGGAAAAAAAACATATGTGATAGAAAATAATTTTTATGATTTATGAAAAAATTTGGAGTTAAAAAAACATAAAGGAACTATTTTAAATAATTTTTGAAAGAAAATGAAATTAAAAGGAATTAAAATAAAAAATAAAATAAAATGTCTAACAGATAGCATGCGTGGCGCATTTTTGTTGGATGGAGAATTCCAATTTCGCTCCAGAACACACACACAACTTCATCTTCAACCTTGGAACTTCGATTTTGTAGGTTCATGACCTTGAAGTTTTAAGCTCAAACACTAAGTGTGCAAGCTTCTACTTCATTCATCGTTCATGTCTCTCTGCATCAGAGCATTTGATTTGCTCAGAATAGAGAGAATTTTTTCAAATACGTAGAAAACCTAGATACTTCAAAGTTAAATTAAATGACTAATGCATAAGATAAATCAAAGGTAAGCGGGGGCTTAGCATCAGAAGATCATAACGAAGAAAGTGGTAACTCGTTTGGGCTGAGATTTTACTCGTATCTACCTGTTCAAAGAAGCTTCGAAGGTCTGAAAATGGTGAGATTGGGTTGAAGTTTTCAAAAGGTGTTGGACTTCTGTAATGCTTCAAATAGCTTCAAATGATGCCAAAGAAGGATTCTGAGCAGAGATTTGGAATTAAATCAAGCTAAAAACAAAGTTAAGGTTTCTGGTTTTTGAGCTTGTTCAAAGTGAAAATGGCATAGGTTATGTGGCTTTCAAAGCTTACCAATAAAGGCAAAATTATGCTTTATTTATAGGAAAGGGATTGAGGTTATGGTACGTGCCAAATGAGATCCCAAACATGTGAACCAAGTTGAGAAAATTCTAGATGCAATTCGTGTGAAATGAAGCATCAAATGCGTGAATTTTTGATCAATTTCAAGTTGTTTTGTGTTGTGTGAGACATGCTTTGCAATAAGGTACAAGTTTGCACATGGTTTAGGTGGTCCCAAGTGAAGTTTAGGTCATTTATAATTACGAGTCATGTACCAAAATATAGAGTCAGGTCACCATGTTCAAGCTTAGGCTAAATAGAATCCACTCGTGCGTTTTGAGATTTTCTTCAGGCCAAATGATCCTCTCATGAAGTACAATCCAATGCAAAAAGAACCAAGTCAAAAGGATGCTTGAGCTGAAAATGGAATGCTTGAGAAGTTGAGGTTATGACCTAAAATTCCAGGTCTGAAATTAGGTCAAACATGTCATGAACTCACTTTGTGCACATGTGGCCTCTGAGAAATTTCAAAATTTGATGGACTTAGGAGCACAATTGGAATTTGACTTCTGAAGTGAAGTTGTAGAGGACCTCAAGAGGGACATTTGGATCAAATAATGTTTCAAAAATGTTGAGTCATGAAGAAGTTATGCTCTTTGGACCAAATGACATGCCATACTTGAATTTTAGGTCAACCAACCATGTTCTAACTTGACTTTTCTTGCATCAAAAGGTTCAATATTGATCATTTAAAGCCCATATAAAGGAAGCTTGATTGTGCATTGGAGAAACTTTATATTTGCTTAAGAATATGATGAAGATGGAATGGAAACAAACACATGAACCATACTTGAATCAAATTGAAAATCATGCATAAAACTTGAACTTCTCTTGATCAAACAAAGTTGAAAGAAGCTTGAGATGAAATGGACCTAAGATTATAGGCCATGCCTTGAATAATAAGCTTTTATGGATCACTTTTTGACAAAACCTTGAGCTTGAGAACCAAAACCCTAATTTAGCAACCACACTTGATCCTTTGATTGGAAAACCCTACCTTGCACAAAAATAAAACAAAGCAAGAAATATTTTTGTATTTTGAATAAGGGTTAGTAAAGCATCAAAAGTATAAAGGCAAAAAGAAACACAAAGGGTACTTGGTGATCTCTCCCACAAGACAAACCAAAAGGTTAGGAGGATACCAAGCTTGTGATCTTGATGAAATGTAAATGATGAATAGGTGGAATATTAGGGGTAAAAATTAGGGTATGACAATGGGATGATCTTGATATTGAAGATCATTCAGATAAATATTAAGGAGAAGCAAATATACCATTGATGGCTCTCACATCCTCTGACACATAAGTTGAACCAACTTTTGATTCAGAGACAAAAGAAGATGATGTATTTTATAATCCCTCTCGTTCTGCTCTTATTACTTTCATTTAAAACCTCATGAGTCGTTGCAAAGATAACCAAAGACACATGAAAACTTTAAAGAGAGACCACGATCTTTTGAAAGAGGAATTAAAATTCTATTAAGATAAACCATTGAGTGAGCTTGAAATGACTCTTCAAAACTTTATCACAACTGGTCTTAAAAGAACTAAATTTGTTGCCATGATCTATGGAGTAAGTAAGAGAAAAGGAGAACGTCTGGGTTACAATGGAGAATGCTCCAAATTTAAACTCTTGAAAAAACTCACAGATCCTTCTTTTCAAGCATTGCTCAAATTAAGCTGAAAACTTATTTTGTGCCTGTTTCTGATAAAGGTAAGAATCTGAACCAAACAGAGCCTAAGACAACTGAATCAAAGGTCCTAATCAAATCAGTACCTAAGACTTAAAAGTCAAAGGTCCCGAAGAAATCAGAACCTAAGGCTCAACAATCAAAGGTATAGAAGAAACCAGAACTGAAAATATCTAAGTCAAAGGTTCTAAAGAAAGCAAAACCCAAGACTTATGGATCAAAGGTTCTGAAGCCAAAGTCACGACTTATCCAATACAACTTTTATAATTTTTTTTGGAATGAGTATAGACCTTGGTTGAGCCAACTTCTGTTGATGAAGCTTTATCAAATGA